CCGTCTTCGTCGGCTTCTGTATCTGCTTCGATCCTTCTCCAGCATTCGGCGCATGTTAATTCTGGTCCCATTTCCACTGGAGGGGGTCGTTTTCCCACCGCCGTCGGAGTTGGGTATTTTCGTCTTTCCACAGCTGGCGGCTGGTGTGACAACCAGTCCTCATACAGTCGTTGGTCTTTCTGCAGCAAATCTTTGTCCATCGCTGACTCGAATGCCAATATCTGCCAGTCACGGTATTTCGCCGAGTTCACGCGGACATATCCCTCATTGGCCAGTACTCCATGTGGCTGCCATTTTATCACATAAAAGTGAGGTAGGCACCAGACTGACGTCTGTCGTACGTTCGTAATCAGGACATGGGTTGGTCTTCCTCGGCGGTTAAAAACAACCGTTGGAATCCAACCCTTCGTCCGTCGCACCCACAAGTCATGCGTCGACTCACTGGGTTGTCGCCTGGGCAATTTGAACTCAGCGGTCATTCGACTTTCGATTGTTAACCCGTCTGGTGGCCCACATGGGACATTTGGTCCGAACTCGGTCTTGGTCGGCGCATTACTTGATCGGATGAGTGGGATGACCATCTCATCGGGTAGCTTGACAGCCGAGTTGTACAGATCCAGACGGATCCCAGCTGGGATCATATAGTCGGTGCCGAGAATCAAATCGACTCCGGCATGATGAGGCATTATCCATACTTCAAACTCGTATGCCACTTCCCAGCCGAGTGTCACCTTCACAACTGCTCTTGACGTTGTCACCATTCTGTCTTTACTTATTCCTTGTATGTCGATTCGCTTTTCTCGGCTGGCCACTCTCTTGAGACGCAGTTTCCTCGCGAAGTATTCACTAATCGCCGAGACATTTGCTCCGGTATCCAATAATATCTTGGTCCTTCGGTCGTTTACTGCACCCAATACGAGAGCTCTCATTCTAACTCGGCGATCAAACGTCTGTGCTGACCACCATCCCAGCCGTTCTCCCGGAAGCAGCTTCATGATTCTGGTACGATGCACAGCCTGGTCTGACTGCCGAGTTACACTTGCAATCGCTCGGTGGTCATCATCTAACTCACCGAGCTCACGTTCAATTCCGTCGATTTCACACATCCAATTGCCATCCTCGCTTCTTCCCTCGGGCCGTCCTGCTTCGCCTACGAAGGCAAACAAGAAGTTCGCCTCAACTGCAGGTTCAGCTGACTGTGGCATCCCGGCATATGCCAACCCAGTCAGTGTTGGCGGGCCGCCGAGTTTAAATCACTCGGCGCGTAAAGGTTTGCAGGTCTTCTGGCACTTGCGACTTGTCAACAGAGCTTTTTACGAACGCAGCCAGCTTCTCATATTGACGAAACCGCTCACACTGGCCGCCTTCATGGACTTGTCTGCAGAATTTGCAGCGTCGTCGACAGTAGTGAGCTGAGTGCCCCATTCTTCCACAAGCTGCACAAGGTCCACGCTGAGAGTTGTCGCGTGATCCATCTCCACGGTTCGACTGTTCTCGTTGGTTGTACGGTCGCGGAGGTCGGTTCGCTGAGTTTCCCCAACTTCGATTTGAGCCACTCTGGTCTCCCGCCGAGTTCTCTCGGCGGTCCGGTGTATTTCCTTTATCATTGGAAACGCCGGCGTCTATGTAGTCGTCGTCTTCCTCCGGACTGGTCCTCACCATCCCAGTCGTCTTCGGAGTTGTACGGGCTCGGCGGGTTCTGATCGATGAGTTCCTCCCCGTCGGAGTCAGCGTCAACGACGGTGACTCGGCGGTCGCGGTTTTCTTCCTTACGACTGCGCTTCTCATCTCGACGTCCATCTCGGCGTTCGTCTCGGCGGCTCTGATCCTTCCGCTTGTCATCTCGGCCTCGTGCGATCACAAGTCGGTCGCGTTGCTTCTTGCGCTTCTCGCCGAGGATCCGACGATTGATTATCTGTTCAACCTTACTGATGTCTTCCAACTGCAAGGGGTACATCAAATCCATCACATCGTCATCACCACAATGCAGCAAGAAGTGTTCGACATGGTCAGCCGCGTCGGCGCCACCCTTCTCGTACTGGATCTTGGCTGTCCGAGCATACCCGTTGAGTCGGATCAGGAAGTCGCAGATCGGTTCGTTGACTTTACGTCTCGCCGAGTAGTAACGAGTGCGGGCGGATTGGTCGAACTGTGAGCAATAATAATCCAGGAACGCCTCGCTGAGTAGTTTCCAACGTCGCTGAGTCTTCTTCGGCAGCTGCCTGTACCAACTTTTCGCCGCGCGTCCCAAGCATAGCGAGAAAGGTTCGCACCAGGCACTTTGGGGCATCCTGGTGCTCTTCATCTCGTAGATGAAACGCTTGAGCCACTGGAGCGACGCGTCAGAGCGGTAGAGCTTTCCTTCGAACTCGGCGATTTTGTCGAGCGAGGCGTGGGTTCGGACTTCTAGGTACTGCGTCGAGTCCTCTTCAGCCGCGTCAAAGCTCAAGTTTCGAATGTAGTCCTTCACGTTTTCTTCACGGTTACCTCTCACGTCGAAGGCGTCGTCGTCTTCTTCATGCTCCTCGTAAGCCTCGGCCTCGTCTGCAGCGTCATACAATTCACGGTAACGACCAACATTCCGCTGCCCACGACTCGGCGCTCGCTGAGTCGGGTTTAGCTTCATTGGCGTCAGCATGTGGGAGTCTTCGAAGTACGGAGTCCCTTGCGTAGCGCGGAACACTTCACGTCTCTTCGTCTCCGGGGTCTTCGGCAAAGGAATTTTGTTTGGGTCTTCTCCGAGTGGTTTGAACTCGGCTACTCGGCTATACACCTTCTTCGTTCCACCAGGGGCCTTCTCCAATCCAAACGCCACTCTCAACTTCTTCTTCCATTGCCAGAGCTCAGCTCCGCCACGGGTCAGACTCCAGTCGGCCAGGATGAGGCTGTTTGGTCGACTGTTGCACCGATAGCCCATCGCCTTCAACAGCAACACAGTTTCTTCCACCAACTGATTGATGTTGGCTGCACGCACCAATTGAGTTAACTCGGGACCTAGCATCGGCCACTTCGCCTGCGCCATCGCCACAGGCGCGAACATCATCATCCATTCCGATCTCGTTCTCATCTCCTCGCCGAGTCGAGCCAACACTTTATTGGCGCTCGGCGTATCGGCGCTCCTCGTCGCTTTCGGAATAAGGGGCGGACGGTCCCCTTGAACAACGCCATGTTCTTCTTCATCTTCTTCATCGTCCGCACCTTCGTCGAGCTCGGCGGATAAGTTGCGCTCGACAAGCCGTGGGGCTCCCATGCGTCCCACCTGCAGCGTCAACTCTTCCACCTCGCCAAGTAGCTCGGCGGTAGTCTTCGTTTCTCCGAGCTCAGCGGTCTCGGCCTTCTCTTCATACTCTCTTTCACTTGCATCTCCGTTCTCGCTCTCCTGGTCTTGGCCATCCTCGTCGAACTGGACGGTTTGTCCCACCTCCATCGTCATGGCGATGAGTCGTTGATCCGCCGGGTCCGACCCCGCGAGAGGCGATCCTCCAGCCGTCGCTGGGCTTCCATCGCTCGGAGTTGCTGATCCCTTGACCATCTTCACTCTTCTCTTTCTCTTCTCTTCCTCTTAACTTGGTTAGCTGGCACCTATAAAAACAAGCACACACTCCTGTTCCCGGGTCGCGGCACCAGTTGTGGTGTAGTAGAACACACAAATACCGTCAGATGTGGATTCCTTACACAAACCACAACGAATCGCCGAGTTAGGTCGGCGGTTGTATGGCCTGCGCAGAGGGTGGTCCCCTCGCGGTCCGGCCCTTCCGGGACAGACGAGTGGCTCGTTTCCACTCGGTTCCGACTAACCAAGTCAGATAACTTCCGAGGCTCCGCCGAGTTTGGTTCGGCTGAGCTCGTTCACAGCCCTGTGCCCTCCACCAAAGGATGGACGACGGCGCGCGAGCGCTTTTACAGGTCACCGAGCGCAGAGGCTGCTCAGCTAGAAGTGTTACGGCACCCGGGCTATCCGACGTACCGGCCCGCTGAGTATGCGGGACTTTCTTTCGCGCGTAGCGAGACTTTGTCCTACCCGGACCGACCTAATCTCTTGGCGCTACCAGTCAATACCCTACAAGCTATGCCTCTCGAGTATTGACGGCAGGCATAATCCAGCCCTATGCAGGGACTTACCGGAAAAGTGTACACGTGTCTTGGACTAGGAAAATTCTGCTCTGTTATCTTCTGGGAGCCCTTTCGGCTACCCCTATTTAATCCTATGCTTCTCATACAAATATCTAGTGAAATGTAGTCGTTTCGCCGACCCTTCAGCTGAGTTCCGGCGACCGTTGAGCTCAGCGGCTATCCGGGTAGCATATCCGGACAGATCGCCGAGTACTTACCGTGATCCTTTGTTCATAAGCTCTGGGTTATCAGACCGAGCCGATTCTTGACCTAAAGTAGGTTGGCGTATGGTCGAATCTGGAAATTCCTACACCACAACTTGGTCAAACTTCACGGGCACATTCTGGGACGGTAGCGTGAATTGTGCGTTTAAGCTGCATGTCCAGTACTTCAATAAAGCTTCCTTTGCACACACATCGTTGCGATTTCCTTTGTCGCTTGCTTTAATGCTGAAGAGATCCGCTTGTATTTCGTTGTTCCAGCTCTTCATCAACCACTGCTTATCTTCTTGCCAAGCTTCTAGTTGCTTCTTTATTGAATAAAAATGAACCATACGAAAAACGGAAATGCTACATAATACAAAGACAGCAGTGAATAGTTAGACATAATGTCAGATAAATAAAATTGTGGGCTTACGTTTATTGGTGCTTTTTCACATAACACCTTTAAGCAAAAAGCGCGTACCTGGAGATTTTTTTTCAGGTCTCCACCATAGCTCAGCACGATGTCGACAGGCTCGGTGGCGCTCGCTGTGCGTAGACTCGTCCCGGTAAGCTCATGTCGACGCTGCTGCCTTGCACTCCTTTCGGATTTCTCTCGCTGGGTGCGGATCACCCGATCCATAGTTTTCACAAGTGCCCCTGGCACCACGAAGTTGTAGTCTAAAAGTGTTGCAGTTGTCTTTTCGTGTGTAGCTGTGGGTTCTCGCCCTTCCAAAACCTTATCGGTCATGTTCACGGGGTATGCATCCATTGCCATTGCGAGCTGAATCCCAGTCGTTGCTCTCCCGTAAGGGGAAAGGAGGCAGTAAATTCGATACATGCTCGACACTTTAATAATGCCGATTCGCTGTACGTTTCGCTGCGTCTCTGACGCGGAATGCGGTCAATGGAAACCAGTTCTGCCACAAATGACCCTTCACCACTCTTGTTCGATTGGCAATTGCATCTGTAAAAGCATTAGTAGTTGAATTAAAAAAAAGGTGAAAACTTGCATATACCAGGTCTAGTGTCGGGAAGTACATTTGCAGCTTCTTGATCACTATCTCTAGGCCGCTTGCACTGGGATAGCCGATTCGAATTGCGGTCCAAGCCTAATCAAAAGGTATTTCGTTTGTTAAATAAAATGATTAGAGCTACTGTATAAAGACTCAATTTAACGTACATTCGGCTTCCAGATCGTCAGCAACGTCGTCGTCCTTATTCTCGCTGTTTCCATCTTCTTCCCGTTCGTAGTCGGAGTCGGAATTACTTTCGTGTACATGCAGTACAATCCCGCTAGCGTTCGATTTGACAGCGCGGACTCCGCGGGGGCCAGGGGCACGGGCTACTTCACGTGACTCGTCTTCCTCGGAGGCGAGGCAGACTGCGAGTCCCGTGACACTATCTGCATTGTCAAGGTCAGCGTTGTTTGCATCGTCCGCCATTTCATATTTTACCACTGCAAGCTCTCTCAGCCGGTCGATTGGTTTGTTATACAGTACTTCTGACCGTTATTTAAGGCTGTTAGATTGAGGCGTTGATTTATGTGGTCTACACGACACGATCGGGCGTTATTTAAAAGGTGCAGCACCGACAAAGGATAGGAGTTCTGCAACGGAACCATGGCACATTGGTAAGAAGAAGGACATTGTGCACACATAAGTTGAACCAAATTCTTCGCATTTAAACCTGGTAGAAAGAACCCACCAGACATTGATTTGGATGGTTAAGACTATGATGAGTCAGTTGGGCCTACCGAAGTCGTTCTGGACGCAACCGGAGAACTCAGTCTACGTCAAGAATAGCGTATTCTCCAAAGGAGCAGGACGCACTCCATACGAGATGATGTTCGGTTGTACGACCAGACGTCCATCACATCCGATCATTTGGAAAGTCAAAGAGAAGGAAATTGGCGATAAACTGCCGAGCTGGTTTCTTACTTGGTTACCGTGAGAACAGGGTGGGGCTGCCAAGTCTACCTTCCCTCGGAGCACAAGAAGGGATTCGTATCGGACATGAAGACCAATGAGAAGATCAAGTACAAAGGCCGCTTTGAAAGCGGATACACAGTAAAGTCGAGCGCTGGCTCCATACATCCAGGGGTTTGTTGAAGAGGGCGAGCTAGCAGAGATGACGACTTCTCAGGCGATGAGGCCGAGTCGTCGCAAGCAAACGAAAGTACACTGAGGCCGAGATGTCACAAGCAATTAGTGATGTTGAGATGCTAAGTGCGGTACCCGAAGCCAACAGCCAGAACTAGGACAAAGAGAGCCTGCGGAACGGCATACAGCACAGCAGTGAAAATCAAAGAGCCAATCACAAGATCGACTTTCAGAGTATTGAGGCAGCAAGTGAGCCAAGTGATGACTTTGACAGCAGCAGTAGAGTAGAAGGATATACGGCAGAACAGCTCGCTGCCCGACTCTGTTGACGCGTTTGCTAAACGCAGGAGGACGATGCCACAGCAAGCAATTACCTGAACGAGAACGAATCGGTGATTGTACACGACAACGAATCGACTGCAGACAGGGAACGATCCGCTGCTGTCAGCAGACACACAGAAGCCGGTGAAGTTGCTGATAGTGCAGCAGTTTCTAGCGGTGTCACGATGAACTACATGTAAATCAAAATCAAAGTGACGATGAACATGAGAGTTACGACGCAACGGACCGGACACAGATCTAGATGAAGCTTACGCAGAGTTCGTTGAAGATGTTACTGATTTGACAGCGAGGAAGGCTACGATGGTGGGTCGAACTACGACTTAAACTCGATCCAAGTGATGACCGCGAGTTGGTCGAGTACGAAGGAGACCACAACAATGCTAGTACCTGTGGAGCAGGGAGAACTCGCGATCATTACAGAACAGATAATCGGTCACGTACGACACCGGGAATCGGATGTGCGACATACGTGAGAGCGTAAGCGTAACAAGGTGGGTATTAAACGAATCAAGACGTCAACGCTGCATCGACCTAGACTTCGTGAAGCTCACGACAGACATCCACCCGAACGATTCGAAGACTACCAAGTTAGCCCGGCCTTCAAGGCACCACACGCGGTATTTGCGGCATTCGAGAAAGTGATGTGAAGATCCCACGAACGCGGCGAGAGTCTTTGAGGTTTAATAGCGCACCTTTATGGATCGCATCCATGTATAAACAGGTTGCGGCTCTGCGTGGAAAGAGCGTGCTCAAAATGATACCTATGAGCAAATTACCAAAGGGCAGAAGTTACAGGACACCATGTGGGTTTACGATATGAAGACGGGTCACCGGGGCTACGTGCTGGAGCTCCGATCGCATATCGTGGGTAGGAGCGACAAGCAACGTCCAGGTTTGGACTTCCTGGAGACGTTCTCTTCTGTGACACGCATGACCACGTTCCGACTGTTTGTTGTAGTGTGCGTACTGTTGGAACTGACGGTCTACCAAGGTGACATACCTCATACGTGGACGCTTTCCTAGCGATCAAACATTATCTGAAGTACTTAACCGGCTACTCGTGAGAGAAAGAGAGCATGGTCTTACGCCCAATAAGGCTCTTTATGGGTTGAAACAATCTGGAAGGGAGTGGAACACGGAAGGCAGCGCATGGTTGCTCCGCTACAAATTTTGGCAGTGCAGCACCGCGCCGTGCTTGAACTTTACAGTCAAGATGGCGTGTTCCCCATCGTCTTACTATATGTTAACGCCATTATGTGTGCCACTAAGAGCACCCGGGGCTCATGGAGAAGATGTTTAATCAGTTGAATGATGACTATGGGTAAAGAAAGGATCAGGTTCTGTTAAAAGGTAGCTTATCTCATGAATCAAGCAAGCGGTCAGTGCCGCAAACATAATAGCCACGGCGTCATGGGTGGACGACGTCGTTGTGAATATCGAATCAAATGTCGATGCATCGACATTGACTACAGTGTATCATTAAGCTGGTCAGCTAGCAGCCGTTGCGTGCTTCTACTTGTGTACTCGAGTACAACAAAGCGATGCAAGGTGTTGATCGGATCGACCAGATAAGAGCTCGGTTTTCATTGCGCATGGTCATTCTTTTCCAAATTTGGCTCAAGAAACTAGCGCATGCATATATCGATCTTGCTCGATGTAGCGATTTTATTACTCGCAAAATGGTGGGAGGGTGCAAAAGCAAGCATGATCCCCACATAGAGTTTGTGGTCGAGCTAATTGGTGAGCTGTTATCCGGTGCATGGAAAAAGTATTTTGAAAACAGGCCCAGTGACGCCGACCCAGACCTTAGTATTCTTCGAACGCCAATGTATACTAATCGAGAAGAAAGTGAAAGGCGTGTCCAGGGCTCGGAAAATTATCATGAAAGCCGATACATTCTCACGTGCAATTCCCAGACTCAAAACCTAAGCGAGGTCGTGTCGTTTGTCGATTCGAGGGGAGGTATCCAACTGTATTGTCAAACTGGTGTACTCATTTGGTCTCGTTCCGCAATTCAAATATCCTATGCAGTCATCCAAGAACATTGTTTGTTAGAAAGATTGAACATGCCGGGAGAAGTTCCACCCCTACTGCTTTGCGGAGAAGCTGTTTAGCAACAAAGGTAACATTCGGCGTTCATTCGAGTTGTAGAAGTGCTGAAACGAGCCCGACGAGGAGCCTTTCTGTCTTACATCGCCTCAGACAGTGTCGGAGTGCTCCAAAGTCTACGCTTGAGCCACTGAAATATTAGAACAGTAGAAGGATTCTTGTATAAATTCATATATTTTGCAATTGAAGAGCATAGTTTATAATTTTGGGAGATCTATTCATTAGCACATGTAAACTAACTCTGTACTACTTTTCCACCTGACGTTTTAATCTGCAGCTCGTTTGAAGTTCAATATCAAGCTAAAATAGCGGGAACAAGATTCGCGATGCAGAGGGCACACTTTCCTTTCTAGTAATATTCTTGTTGCTACGGATGACACGTACAAAACCGGCCCGGTTACACCGTTGGCGGCTTCCTCAAATACAATGTTGTTACGATAATAACCGGCAGCGAGATAAGGCACATTGCGGCTCCTGCCTGACGGAATTGATGTCGCCGAGAAATATTGAGATTGAGAGGGGCTCTGGATATCTTGCTGAGTGTTGAAATATTGCACTATATTGTACTGTGAGCGATCGCAAAAGGCTCAGGTTTTACTTCAACGCCGACACAAGCTTGGGCCTTTGACTTTTAGACGTATTGGACTAAAGTATCACCAATACCACAGCCAATATCATCAAATATATCACCAATAAAGATTTGCATCTTGATTGACAGTGATGAAGCACCGGTCGGAGCTACTTCACCAGCGTCAAACTTACCTTTTCCTCGGCAGTTGGTATACAGCTACTGGTCGATATTCTGAAATGAGGTGGAGCGGGATCAGCCAAATTTGCAAGATTGCTGGATCAAACTTACGAAAAGCGCCTAAACACCACCTAACGGAGGGGGCCCCGCCGATCCGTGATCCGCTGAACATTCATCACCTTGTATACCCGTCGGTAGGCGGGATCTTGCTCTCTCGGTAACTTCCAAAGCGTTTATGTGGTGAAGCTTGAGCATCTTGGCGAGGCGTGGGGATGGGGCGGAGCAGTAGTGGTAAGTAAGATCTTCACGCTATGTCAAATACTATTTCTGGGTCTCAAGCAAGTGTTCGAGCTTGGTGGACCCAGGGCCTAGATCGGAGGGTTGTCTTGCGGGTGTGTTCCCTTGCCTTTAAGTTTCCTTTTCGTCGTACTTGCCGCTTCCGATAGCGGGATTTTGAAAATTGAGAGTTTCTTAGGTATACCCGGGCAAGTAGTAAATTCGGTTAACTTTACGGATCTGCACGTGTAAAGAAAAGCTCATTAGGTGGTAGGATCTGGCCAGTATATTGTCGAGGTATCCCTACCAACACTATATTATCTGTTCTCTACTGTCACTGATCTCGTACGGCCAATGTCGTTCCGATTCTTGAGGGCAGGAATGCGCTTGTATAACATAATACAAACTTGTCTCTGATTCATAGTTAATCATACAACCTACCTGGATCTCTACCTTCTATGTCTTTTATTTAATAAACCACTTACTAGGCTCGACGGATTGTTCTTTATCTCCTCGGTCCATCACCCCAGATCAGATCCCAAGAAAATATGGCGTATGGGCACAGTATCGCGTAACCAAGTAACTTTAGTCCACCATCTTACCGAGATGTACAAACTCCGTGTATCCGACCCCCCCAGTCATTCAGCACCACGTTACGAGTGTCTACTGTCTACGTCACTCCACAAACGCTCGAAATTCATTGAATCCACCACCCTTCTACTACAAATCCCAGTCACTCTGTATGAGATCATTGATCTGTCGATCCGGACTCGGGAGAGTGGGATCTGGGACATCTAGTGGTGAATATTGCCTTTCCATTCGTCATCCATACCAGATCCACCTTCAGATGGTGTCGATAGCCTTTCTT